ATTGCCTATTACACAAAAATACAAAGGTAGAAAACTTTGCATAACAAACAGTTTATAGATTAAAATATTATAATATCATCTGTGCAATGTGTATATTATAATAATGTAAATAAATTAAATACCAATAGGTATCTATTAGCGTACTTTTCGTCATCTGTAGGGAGCGGACGTCCTTAGCACGTTATTAGGGGTAATTTTCAACGTCGACTTAGGTGCAGCCCTTATATGTGCGAACGACGTCCGATCTCTAGTCATCAGATACATACGTAGCGAAAATTTTTTTTTCATCATTGCAATCCATGATTTCTTATAATACGCAGTATTATAAAGGGTAAATAATACTTTTGTTTTAACTACAGATATATCACACTTTGCAATAATTTACCTGCGCTTTTTTATCAGATCCTTAAAAAAAATACTAATTTTCGTCTTGTTTGTTTTGCTTTTACTCAAACTAATTTCATTTGAATTAAGGAATTTATTGTAATTGTCATTTTTTTTCCATGCAGTAAGACGTGCCACAGTAAAATTAGTTTAAATATGCTGTTAAATATAAAAATTGTTAATTCCAAGCGAATTAGTTACACATCAAATGCCTGCGTATAAAAAAAGTTGAAGCTCACTAGAAAGAATGCAAAAATCCAATATTACCGGATTAGTTAATTTTAANTAAATTATTACTTACGATTAATTTATCTGTTATTTCATCTAAAATATTTTCTGGAAGGGCATCGATACAGTTAAGAAGGGCTTCAGGGTCTCTAGTGGGGTTGTAAACGATTTCTTGGATATCGCGCTTGTCAGCGTTGCTGTACGCGGTAGATACATGAATGAAACACTAAAATAATTAATAATTTATTAGATAAAGAAAGTAAATAATTGTTGCAATTTATATGATTCATCGCGAGGTAGTTAAGGAAAGGTGTTTTTACAGTTTTTTTAAGGTAATTACGGGTACGTTTAATTACATAACTGCTACCTTTCAATAAATATGCTAATTATCGAGGTAGAAATGAACCCATTATTACCTGCGTGAAGTCGAATTAACGGATAAAAAAATAAAACAAATAATTTTGTTGAATGTTTAAATATGATAGGTATGCAAAATATTCGTATTTTGTTATCTGATTTTGCCTTTGCTTATTTCTATTCAAAAATTGAAACTTAAGTAACACAGCGTCTATAAAATAAATAGTTTTAAATAAGGCATTTTGATCTTCTGTTTTATCTAACTCATGTTCGTGGAGAGGTTCATGGTTGCAACCACTACTATTAGTGATTGTTTATTGTTATTATTCCGTACTTAATAAAACACAAACAGTTCGCCACACGTCATTAGAAAGCTGCATATGTATATAAAAATTGGAAATAGGCGCTCTAGATTTTCACAGCCAACGCGGATATATGTGTAGGTAAATCTAGAGCGAATTTATATGTACTGGTACATATGTGTAAAGTAGATGTATGAAGTAAATTACCTCATTAAGAATTTCTACAGGTATACGTATTAATCAACAACAGTAAAAAAATACCAGGATTAGAAACCTGTGCAGAACTAGTTTACTTTAATGTCATAAATGAGTTAAATATGCTCTGTTTCTATTGTTTTCTACAAAATACTCTCGAAAACAAAAACTTTTCTTTGTTTAATTCTTACGTCAGCAAAATAATTTATTATGATTTGACTGAAATGATACGACAAAAATTCTCATCAGTTGCTGTTAAGAATAGTGCGTAATATTTTCAAATATTTCTAACTCTATATTAATTAGAATTAACATTCTATCAGAATGTTACCAACAAAATATTTATACAAATTAGAGAATGTGAAACCTTATTGAATATTTATAGAAAACGTGTCTGGTATTTGCGGTAAAGTGTAAAAATTTATTTTTTGTTGCGTGACGCTAGTATACCATGAATGAATGAACGAAATAGATATATTTTTACCTTGAGGTTCCTCATGGCTTTGCATACGTCTAGAACCCTTTTTGTTGCAAGGGTGTTAAGTGTTAGGGCATCTTTCAGGTTTTCGTGAAATCTGAAATCGAAAAAGTTCCCGTGTTATTAGAATTTGAAAAAATGAAAAAACTTAGATCGTAGTCTTTTACCTGACGGTTGCTGCCGAATGGAAAACTAAATTGACTTGTTGAATTAGGGTGTTCCTGTCGTTAGCTGAAAGGCCTAACCCTGGTTGACTCATGTCTCCGGGAATGAGGTAGATTTTGGAAAATATTTCTGGATTTTTTTCCCGAATTCTGTCGAACACCTTTTGTAATAAAAGAATAAGAAAATTTAAACTAGATTTATACCAAAATTTATTTTTTTTGGAAGAGTAACTATAAAAAAGCCACCCTGCTATTTATTCAAAAATATCTACTGTCGTTTTCTTACCGGGTTTGCTATCAGTTCTTTGAGTCTTTGATCACCTTGGTTGCCCTTTTTGGGCCGCACCAACAGATAGACCTTGTCCAATTGGTAGCAAGTCCGCAGAAGTTTTTCCAGCAGTGCTTTGCCAACGAACCCGGTTCCTCCGGTGATGAAAATCGTTGTATCTTTATAAAATTCGGCAATGTTGTTCATCGAAACATCCTTCATACTGTTGTTGTTTATTTCTATGAAGGGTTGTTTCTTGTGTAACTGTTTCGGTGCACCCATTGTCTCTTCCAGGAAGATGTCCTCGATTGTAAGCGGTTTCGGTTCGGAAATTACGTCAGACCAAATCGGAGACATAATAGGGGGCCTGGGAACAAAAAAGGGGATTGACTAATTACTCAATCGATGCATAAATAATTTCATGTCTAAGAAGTGATTTTTTTATTGTTTTCAAAAAATTTTCGTGGTTTATTGATCGTTTTTGCTTCAAAAGTTAATAGGTAATTAAAAATTATCTTTATTACCTTGCTTAACTTTACAAGTAAAACTATAGGAAACGTTTTAGTAGGTTTCTTTTGCAAAATATACTTTGACTGTAAATAATTGTATATAAATAAAATATTTGTTGAATGACGTCTGTCACAACTTCAATATTTCTCTTGATAAATACTCGTATACAGGGTGTGTCGAATTGTTAGAGTAACTTATCTTGTCACAATTACTTACTTCAAACTACTGATGCATTCGTGGTGAATACTTTGTATTAAAAGCACGCACGTCAGAGGAATTAGGGAAACCGTTGACCATTATTAGTTTTCCGAGTAACGTAAAGCAAATAATTACATGGTGCACGGAAATCTATAGCGCCATTGTACTCGGGATCTTCGTAAATATTTGATCCGATACTTCACGAAATACAAAAGTCTATTAAATAACTTATTTGTAGTTTACGTTTGTTAGCGGATATCTCTGTAGATATCTATTATGCAATCAATAGGAATTGTTTTTGAAATGTACCTGTAGGGCGGTAGGTATGAAATGTTTCAATATTGTACACGCTTTTTGTGTACAGGATGTTTCGGACTTGTGAACAAAATTTGTGACCTCCCTGGGTCAAATTAAAAATGCTTAAACCTGGTACAATAAAATTTGTAATACAGAAAAAGATAGAAAAGGGAAATTCGTAGATCTGGGGAAAGCTTGTGACAATGTTAAATGGGAAAAGATGTTAATTGTACTTACTGGGATGATACAGAGTTTGAATAAAGAGCAACGTATAGAAATAAATATTAGGAAGAAGGGTTGGAGAAGCATTAACATACATGTAAGACGTGATTAATATTATTAAAAACATGACATTAGCATTGTTAGAAGGAGGAGTTAGAGATATCCTTAAAGGCGAGAAAGGTTACGGTAGGACACATTGTCAGACAAGAAGGGCTGTTGGTGATGATGAATTAACTTTTTATTTCTTTCTCGCAATATAATTAAAACTTTTTGTAGTTGGACGGGGGGGGGGGACGTTTGAATCGAGTAACCCCTCCCCCCTGCCGTGGCTACACCACTTTAAATGACGTAAATTTCGAAGCAATTGTAAGTAAAATTGAACAAATTAACGAAGAGTTGTCAAATTTAAATTCAATTATTATCGTCATATTGAATAGTAGTTAAGGGTAGGTACATACCATGTTTATTCTCTAAAATGTTGTATCCATTATGTTACAAAAATTTTTTTATTATCCTCTCTGGTCACTTATTTCTGCTATTAGCAATACGTGTTCTCGTTAGTAACTCGAACTGACAAAAGTGTGTCGCTACAATTCGATTCGTATTCAGGGGGCTAGATGTTCGCGTCGTGAAATACGTTGTCAGACTGATAAAACTGTTTAAGACAAAGGCTTACCGAGGCGTTTAATAATGTATAAAGTTCATTTAGAAAGTGCTAATAAGAAGGCAGTACCCAAAGGAAAAACCGCAACTATATAAATCTGCGGAACACCTCAAGGCAACACGTCGTGACACTTATAGGGTGATTGAAAATAAATACAGTGGGTGGTGCATATAGCGTTCCCCTAAAGACCGGCGATATTTTGATGTAAAAACCGGTGCAAATTTTTAAGATAAATTGAACCATCTTGTGTTAAGTATGTGGTCCATATTGGGGGTAGTAACTATTAATTTGATCGACTAGGATGTCGACGGGGAAGTACCCGCAATAAAACGACTGCTTCAAGGATTTGTAGCAATAAATATATATCCGAGTTTGTTGTCGTTATTACCGATATTTTAGCGTTGGCTAGAATAGTAAATTTGGGGGGCTTTTAGAATCTGACATTACATCAGAGTTGTGGTTATAACCGATGTTGTTATAACCAACTTCCACTGTATTGAGAACAGGATATTCTATATCTTGATGTAGTGATAAACAAAATTTTTTATTATTTTAACCCCGAAAATGGACACGATTCTCCTTAATCTTTAAATTTTATAGACCCCTTTTCGAGAAATTTAATTTACAGCTACTGCACACGCTGTGTTTGTAGGAGTGGTATGTAGTCCATATTGGGGGTAGCAACTATTAATTTGGTCGACGGGGAAGTACCCGCAACAAAACGACTGCTTCAATGATTTGTAGCAATAAAAATATAACTCACTATATCCGAGTTTTGTGTCGTTATTACCGATATTTTAGCGTTGGCTAGAATAGCAAATTTGGGGGGCTTTTAGAATCTGACATTACATCAGAGTTGTGGTTATAACCGATGTTGTTATAACCAACTTTCACTGTATTGAGAACAGGATATTTTATATATTGATGGTTAAGTAGTGACAAACAAAATTTTTTATTATTTTAACCTCGAAAATGGACACGATTCTCCTTAATCTTTAAATTTTATGGACCCATCTTTCAGAGTTTTAATTTACACGCTGTGTTTATAGGTGTGAGATGCTATTAAAAATCTAAAAACTCTACACTAAAAATTTTCATTTGTTTTACCCCGTTGACTTACCCCAGTAACACATTTTGAATCCCGTTGTAACGAACACACTTTCATAACACTGGTGTAGGTGTACTTTGTATGTATTTAAATATTTATTAAAATTGCTTACAGAAAAAACTTCGTACAATTACAAAATACAACAGAAGATAATAATAACTATCACTTGGTGAATTTTCCAAATAACTACCATTAACTTTGATATAAGCAGTAGTATTTATTTTATTATTAAATTTGTTTTGTGAAGTACAGTTACACAACGAAAAAAAGGACATAATACATACATGTATATACAAGAATAATAAAAAAAATGCAAATGCGATCCCTAATAAGAGTGATAAATTAAAAAAATAATAGTAAGGACGTATGAGGAAGTCGAATTAATGTTGTCTTTTTTAATGAGAAAGAATACTGACAAATAATGTACTACCATAGTGCCAATCTCAGGACAAAATACATGGAAACGGCCTGTAGTATTTTTCCTGCCCAGTACAATCTGAAAAAAAAATAGAAATATAAACTATTTATTAGGGATGATATTGTAGCTACAGGCACGGCAAAACGTTCACAGCATATAAAAAATATGCATTTATTTGTCGGCATTTTTCTGGTTCGATACACAGTCGATGCAATACTTTTTTGCATAAAATAAATTGACATTTTGTACAATTAATATATAGTATACATTAGTACGACGAATCTGTGACCTGATAAGTACGTTTTGTTACTGCTGTAGCTGTCGCCTTTTGTAGTGCACTGATCAGAGCACTGATACGTGAAGCGAAAGGTCCCGGGTTCGATTCCCGGCGAGGATGTGACAGCAGCAACAATTTTTCCTCAATAATTTGAGGTAATTCATAGTTCAGTTACAGTTAATTAAATCAATTCTTACCTGCTGAGTTTGGCTTTAGCTTGAGGGAGGGAACTTAAGTCGTCTTTGAGGATGTATTTCCTAATTCCCAGGAGGTAGTTTTTGACATAGGGGTCCCAGGAGAATCCACCTTCTGGTCGCATGTCGACCGTGAAGTCGGCGCCGTCTTCGCTGTTTTCAACTGCGTCTAACANTGTAGTTGTATTAAATCATGTCTCAAAATTCGCTGCTATCTTTCAGCCGTGGGTGAATATTGAAATGTATCCAAAAACACTTTAGAGACTAACCATCTCATTTTATTTATAAAATTTAAACAGTTTGACTAGTGCCAGCTGGTGTATCGCAAGAGGCAAATAAACTGGAACGTATGTTATTCACTACTTACCTGCATTTATCTACCTAACAAACTAATTTGTCTGATTATTGATCCTTTCTGTAACTTTGTCCTTGGTTGATATAACATTAACTGTAAAGGTATCTAGCTGGCGACTAGCGGGTCGATATTTTTACTCCGTTTTTTCCATTACTTTTTATTACAAAACAATCGACTGTCGTATTATATAGCTTTTCTATTATAATAATTACTATTATTGTAGCGCAAAGTCATTATTTTGGTTTGGAATAAGGAACGAGCTTTCCGATGCCGATGTTGATATTAATAACGAATGTGTTTAATTGTCCATTCGGTTTATATCGTCATTAAAAATTAGAAAAATAGTATCAATCAGTGCCGAAATAATAATAGAAAAAATATTTAAAGTTTTAAATTAGTTAAACATTGGGGGTGCTACTTTAATTATTTAAATTATTTTGGGTCAACGGTACAACTAATGAAAATAGTTGAATATTGTACTTATAGTAAAGTTAACTGAACAATTTGTTATGCATTGCGGTATTGTTCTAGAATTAATTGTTTATGCGAATTGAAGTGTTGCGAAAATCGTCTAGTTTTCGGCTTATTCAGGTCGTTTTAGAAAACTGAATAATAACTTGGAAAATGAAGGTTCTCAAACAGTTAATTTTTGTGCGATATTAAAATTATATTTAAATTTAATTATGCNTGATTCCATTCCCTAGAAGGAAAATAAAAAAAATAGTTACAGGGTGTTTTATTCGACCATTTTATGCAACAGCGTACTCTTCCATTTAAAGAACCTTGAACCTGAATACACCAACTTTTTCCTTAAGTCGTAAAGGACTTATAGGGAAAGTTGGTGTACCTAGAGGTGTAAGCCGACACAACACCCAATCTATAGTTTATATGACTGAAAACTAGAGGTGGAGTTGTAGCGAAATATTCTGTGTTGGGTCTGAATCCCCAATTGTTTCCCATAAGTACCATCATAGGGTACTCATATTATTCATTTATACGTTTTTCTTTACACACCTGCGGTTGTCTCGCTGCTTTCATTAAAGGCGTAAGTCCGGCCCTGTCCCGACTGTCAGGGTTGGCACCGAAAGTCAATAGAAGTTCTAGGTATTGCAGGTCGTTGATTAAATTTATTTCTGACCCGAAAAAGTACCGTTTGTTAGGGTCGGCTCCGTGTTCTAACAGGAGCCTGGCGATGTCCATGTGCTTGTTCCTTATCGCCAAGCGTAAGGGTTCGTCGCACAGGGTCGTCCTAGGGAATTCCTCGCCCGTATCTGGACGGTAGTCGACTTTGGCTCCAGATTCATTTTTTTGTTACGTATCTGTTTTCACTCGGTCAGAATCAGCTTTTCCGTTCGATTCCCATTTCTTAAATTGAAATTTATTTTCGGTAACTAGCCAAATTGATATCGATTGATATTGATTGTTTGATCTTTTGTGACACAATAATTTATGCATTAGACTTATTTTCAGACAGACCTACGTTAACTAAAAGATAACTGGATGTATGTACTTGTTTATATGCTTCTTGTTTTTGTTGTTTTTATATCAGCATTCAGAAAAATAATCAAATATGTTAATTCTTATAATTTCTATTTTTTGAATTCCATTTTCTTCAAATTTGAGTTGGTCAGTTAATTTATTTGTTAAATAAATGCCTGAAGATCTCTTTCTATATATTTCTTCGGAAAAATCAGCTGCAGTAATAATAATCAGAGGTTTTAAGCGAAATTATTACACTAGGCACGCATGGCAAACAGCAGTTATGGTAGGAAACGACAACACAAACTAAGTACTTATATTTCTGAGGTCGTCAGGGTTGTTAGCTGTGTTAGCAGCGGGATGAAAACAGTAAAAGCGATGTTTTCGGAACAAAAATTAAAAGGCTATACAGTAAAGCCGAAATTTCCCTTATTTTGAATCAATTATTCAGATTATTGCTACACTACCAATATACTTTATTATATATGTAAAAAAAAACGCTTACGTGTTTTATTAGAAGGCATGTATTCCAAATAATTTTTTGTTTTTTCTTTTTGGGAAGCGTGAAAACAATTTATTTATTTAACTATCACCATACTTGAAGATCATTCACTGCGATCGAGTAAACTGAAGCGATGTTGTTTCATCCGTATGTAGAATTATAGAAAGTTCGTCTAGAGAAAGTAACAGTCGGGTTATTTTGCGGCGAAGAAAGTGGAATATTGTTTTGTAACACTTTTTGAAGGCATTTGACCGAGAAAGGCAGTAGAAATTTCCTTTTTTTTTTACATAACAAAAAGTTGTAAACAAAATAGAATAATACGAAATTAGAACAAGATTAGAAGGGCGTCATCGCAGATACAAATGGAATTCTAGAAAAACATTGCTTTTGTTATGAAAATGGGGGTGAAATATATTTTCTGAGCACCCTGTAGGCACGTACACATTTAAACGCAGTTCGCTGTCTTTTTAATATTATTGTCATCCACGTTCTTGGTATGATCCTTGATATTGACCTATCGATTTGGTGGAATTTGCTCTTTGCCAACACGGTGAAGGTGATATATATATATATATTTTTTTTTTTGTGACCCCGAAATAGAAAACGACCATGTAAACAATGCCCGACTTTTACTAATCAGTGTTTGATTTTTTTTTTTAAATAATCAATGCATCAAATAAGTAGTATGCGTGATCCATGATTAACAAATGTCAGACCTGTTCTAATATTTTTCCTGTTGGTGCAAATTTTTTCATATTTTATCTTAAAATTTTCAGTTGTAAATAATTGTTAATTTAAATAAATTTCAGTTGTCTGCTACTTGTTTGGTGTGTGAAATGATAAAGTACAAAAAGGAAAACTTTGTCAAATTTAATATTTATATTTATTTTCATTTACACAAAAATACAAAGGTAGAAAACTTTGCATAACAAACAGTTTATAGATTAAAATATTATAATATCATCTGTGCAATGTGTATATTATAATAATGTAAATAAATTAAATACCAATAGGTATCTATTAGCGTACTTTTCGTCATCTGTAGGGAGCGGACGTCCTTAGCACGTTATTAGGGGTAATTTTCAACGTCGACCTAGGTGCAGCCCTTATATGTGCGAACGACGTCCGATCTCTAGT